TAGAAAGGGTGCTAACACCTTCCCTTTCTATAACCTACCTCCCGAACCGAGAGCAATCTCTATAAGGAATTTTTCTGTGCTTTTGTCCTTTCCATTTGGAGAAAATAAAAGACGGTGGCGACTCTTGCTTCCGCGACATTTCGCGAACCAGCATTAAACAGTCAGTTCCAGATCCACCGATCACAGCTGGCCACACTATATTACAAACAGGCGTCTAGGCTTAATTGTTTTGAGCCTTTTTATTGTTGCTTTCTAACACCCCCCAATTACTTTTAGAGTTCAGGCCCATTAAATTCTTTTTTTTTAATTAACTGTTTTCTTTTCTTTAAATAATTTTATTTAAAATTCAAAAAATTCATAAAAATTATTAAAAAAAATTAGATTTAGGTTTTTAATTAGTTAATTTAATTTTTGACAAATAAAATTAATTTAATTTAATCACTTTGATTTTATTTAACTAGAATTATGTTTTATACTTCAAATATCTTTTTTAAATAAAACACCAATTTTTTTTTCTAAATGCTTAGAATTCTTTAGATTTTAATTAATTAATTTAATTTTTGATAAATTAATTTAATCACACCTTGTTTTATTTTAAATAATTAAATTGTAAATTAATTAGAATTAGGTCAAATTTTTATTTCACATTTTTCTAAACAAAAACAACAAAATATTTCTTAAAATGCTTAGAAATATTTTAGGGTTTTCTTAAACATTTTCTCTTTTTCACCATTTTCGCGCACTTTACTTTCGCATTAATATTTTCCAATAATTTAAATGCTCAAAGTCTGTAATAGCTTTAATTAGGACTCCTTTACATTTCATCCCCATTCATAAATTTGTACCCCAGTCCTGAAGCCTTGTAATAGCGTAGAATATTTAATTTCCGCAATTTACTACTTTTCTTATTACTGTTAGTAACCAGGGTTTGTATGACAAGATTAAAATCAACTGTTAGATAACCTAATCTCAAAGACAAATACTTGAAATCAAAATACTATTCACACACACACCTCTAGGGTAACCCTCACTTGTTACCTCGGATATAAGCAGTCATGTCCCTCGAACATAGAATGCTTTAGCAAAGACCCTCGGTTAAAAGATCGTAGTCCCTCGATGACCCTTCGATGCTGCCTTCGGTAAACGATCTTAGTCCCTTACGACAATTTCTAAAGCATCCTACAAGTTGCCTTTTATGACTGTACGATGACCCACATTTGTCCCTCATATCCAATGATAGGGCTTCCTACTAACTAATGGTGGGATAACACTATCTAAGGGAGGAGGAAAAGAACAAATATCATTGAGTAGGTAGTTCACTCGTAATCGCTTGCTCACAAACTAAAATAATTTTCACACCTTACACTTTCAAAAAACAGTTACTTTCTAAAAATGCTTTATAAACACTCTTGAGGACTGATACAAGAATTATTATAAAGCAAAATTGTCTCACATTGGCATTTTCAAAATATTTTTCCACAAAACAACACTTTCTTTCAATAAATATTTTCAAAACAAATATTTTGTATACATTCTCAACGATACGAGAATCATTACAAAATTGCCATACTTAGGCATTTTCAAAATATTTTCAAGCATACACAAATACAAAGCATTTCCAAGTGAGCTAGAAATTAAGAGCCTGTAGATAACTACGGATGGAAAGGGTGCTAACACTTTTCCTTTTCATAACCTACCCCCCGAAATGAAGAAAATTATCAAAGGTTTTTCCTATTTTTTTCACCTTTTCCTTTATTGGATAGAAGAAAAGTCGGTGGCGACTCTTGCTATCTGTAATATTTGCGATAAAACACAAAACCTAAAAGTCAGTTCTCCCACCTTATTACAAGGAGGTATATCCGTTTTTAAGATGTACTCACTTAATGACAAAGTGTAACTTGGCCTATGAAGGCCAACGTTCATACCATTTCAAGTCGTAATCCTTTCGACCATGGTTGCCAGATTGTTGTCTGCTGCCAAGTTGTCTCGTCAAATTTGATATATGACATCATCAACATTTTGATTTCTATTTACCATCATAACCCTAAGTCCTGGTTCCCTTAGAACTTTTGGTTCCTGCCTAAGAGGTTCGACTCTAGGTATTTCGACATTCACAACTCTAAGTACTTCGACTACCCCTCCCTGATTTACCACATTAGCTTGGGGTGCATTTCTTTGATTTTGTTGAACTTGATTAATTGTTAGGTCTTCTTCAAAAACTACCTCTTTATTTTCCCTAATCTATTCCCTCTAAGGACGTGGTGGGGGTTGAGGCACACCAAAGAATTCAGCGATGCGTGTCATTTGTGCATCCATTTGTTGGTTCGCTTGAGTAGTGTTTTGAATCAAAGAGTTAAAAGTTGTACCCATTATTTGTGCAATCATTTGGACCATTTCATGGTTACTTTCGTCCATTTGTTGTCTAATCACCACTGCAGAGTGATTTGTTAAATTTGGCATTTGGGAAGAAACTCCTTCTACTTGGGGTTGGACATTTCGACCTCTGTTATTAACAGCAGATCCAGAACCTGTTAATGGCGAAGTAACGTTCATCACGTGATCTGAGTATGTTGAAGTAGAATTATGTAAATCCATCATAAACAAAGATGGCATGCTATAAGGCCGCTGAGGACCATTTAGAGGCATAGAAAAACCAGGAGGCCCTTGAGGCCTATGAAAAGTATTTCCCTCCGGAGGGGGGGGGGGGGGGGGGTCCCTTGTGGACCATGTGGTCCTATATAGGTCAAAATAGGGCCAATGTAAGTGTTCGACTACATTGGCGTTGAACTTGTTGAAGACGGTATAGTCTCTGAAAAAGGCGCAAAAACCGTAGTTCCCCATGTCGAAGTGACTGGAAGTGGTACTTCATCATTGTTAAGAGAATTTTGATTACCCGACTGACTTTGGTTTGCCATTTTCCTAACGTACTTTCTCTTAGGTATTTCCTTGTTGTTTGTGACTAATTTATCACTTCTAAGTCTCATACAACGCAGAAAAATACAAGAAGATGATGAAGATTTTCAAAAACATTTTACTAGAACAAAATATTTGTGAATTAAACACAAGTCTCATTGGGCGTGCCAATTTGTTTACCGTGAAAATTGATAAACAAGCGCTAGTCTTCTAAAAACAATGAAAATCTTTAATTGCTCATATGATCGACTAGATTGATCCTAGGACGTGTGTTCTTTTTCAAACTTTTGTTCTTGAAAACAAAGAATGCTTTAGACAATATTCACACTTTTAAATAATATTGATTTCGATTCAAATGACTCTTCAAAATGAATTTACGAAAAGATTTGTAAAAGAAATGCAATAAAGGTAAATCAAAAGTAAATTGCTAGAAGTAAATTTCTGAAAAAAGTAAATTTTATTAAAGTAAAAGATGGTGTTTACACGTACGTTTCTCAAATGACTCTTTTCTCAACACACAAATACTTTGAGTTTATGTGAGATTTTGTACAAACGAATAAACACACAAATTCTATTGCTAAGACTCCTATTTATACTATTTCGACCTTAACGATCACTCTATGCCTAAATGTCACGTTCGGCCTTTGCATGCACTTTCGAAATATCAAGTCTCTACGCGTCTTTTTGGATAAGATCAAATGTTTGAATTCGAACCCTCTCCTCATTTGAAACGCCAAATCTTTAATGTGCCATAACGAACTGATTTTCGAACATTAAATCTTCAAACCTTTATTCTATCAAATTATTTCAACAAGTTTGGATCATCCATAATCTTAATCAGTCGAATCTTATAAAGAAAATATCTTTATTTTTCTAATTCAACTACGATTGAAATTCTCAACTAACAAACTACAAATATTAACTTGCTATCATGCAATCTGGTTACGTCCAAAAATTAACATTCAAATAGGATCTCCGAATAGTAATTTCTTAAAACACGCGGACCAAAGAAAACATAACACCCAACCCTAACCCCATAGTTAAGATAATCCCAAAACAAACAAACAACTCTAGAAGGAATGAAAATAAATGATCATCTTACTAAAAAGACAAAAAATGTACGGTATATTACTAACCATAAATTACAAGAGGAGTGGAAGAGATCAACATCACCGATTGTTCATCAAATACCACAAGAGAATGTGAGTAATGTTCAAAATTGACCATCGAAATAAGATTGAAAGAGTGGGGGTTGAAATTGATAGACTTTGAAGTAATGGTTGTATTACTCTCAAAAACGAAATATGTGAAAGTCTTGCTCTGATTTTTCAAACGTTACTGAATGAAAAGGAAAAGTTAATTCGTAATATATTCGGTAAAAGTATCTGAATGTTACTGTCTGGATGGCTTGAACAATTTCTTTGATCATTTACTGAATGATGAGATCATTTAGACAACATTGGTGTGAGGTGTGTCCAAATGTTAATTAACTCTCAAAAAAGGACATTTTTAAACATTTATAAAATTTAAGAGAAATGCATAACTTATTGAAAATGTCAAGCACTACCTGAATACATTGTATACGTATTGCATAAATGAAGCTATCATTTATTCTGAGTTATTATCATTTAATCAAAATGGGACAATCTAGAATATTTATGTACTTAATTTCCATATCCAAAGTCTATGACACGGCAACCTAAGAGATAAGCAGTTAGGTGCGGTAATACAGTTAAGCCTGAGTATTTCAAAAAAAAAAAAAAAGTACGAGTTCACACAATTTAGTTTACCAAAATAAAATTTGTCATGCTTTTGAAGCATGACTTTTATGCATAACAAAAACTACCATTCGATACATAACAAGACTCAAATATTTCAGGAATCTCTATCTGGGAACCAAAATCCCTTTTCCCTTATATTTATTTTAATCTATATTTTATTCATGAAAATTAAAAAACAAAGATCATGGTTCGATCTCGGCCCTGGACGCAGCAGTGACTCGAGAGATTAGTCTCTCCAATTACGTGCGCGAGGATACCAGTTTTCTACTAAAATTAACAAAACAAAACTAAAAAGAAAAAAAGTTTCTAAGACCCAAATTCAATGGTAACTTGCTTAGTCTTCTTCTTCCTGACTTCCCTACCAATCCTAACGGTTCTCACGCTACACGGCTTCGCCGGAGCTGCTTCCGAATTCTGACGCATAACAGTGATGAGATCAACAAAAGCACTTAAAATAAACTTATGAGACTTTTTCTCATTCAGATTCAGGTAACAAAACAGCATCTCCTCCATGAAATCCCAATCGATTTTCATTTGATTGAGTTCAGTTTTACCGTACTTGGATTCCACCAATTCCTGCATCGATCGCCTGAATTCGTCGTAAGGACTCGGCGAATACGATAACAGAGCAATACAGTTTTCAGGAAGAGATTGATTACGATCATCATGATTCACTATAACTACCTCTTTCGAAGGCGATTCTGTCGATGAGGAATTGGAATTACTCGAGTCGCCTTCATCGCTGTTTGTTAGCGATAAAGCATCTTCCATCAACGATCCTGAGTTTCCCGGTTTCACGAAGAATCGCGCTGATCCGGAGAGATTCTGCGGTGGTGATCGATCGAATCGCGGTGATTCAAGCAAGGAGGAAGTGAATTTCGGTGGTTCGCGGTTGTTTTTTCCGTCGGAGATTTTTTTGACGGAGTTTTCGGTTTCGTCGTCGTCTTTGAAATACAGAGACTTGAAATTCTCGAAGAGAAAACGGTCAACGTCAGCTAGCGTTGCAGCGTCGTTAACGGCGTTAGATGATAAGTTTCTGCCGTTTTCTAAAGAAAACGACGGCGTTTTGGGGTGTTTGCAGCCAGAGAGCATTTTGGTTAACTTGATTTGAGGGTGAGGGTTTTTGTTTTTGAGTTTGTTGAGGTAATCTTGAAGGGTTTTTTGAAGCTTCTTAGGCATGGTTTTTTGTTTTTGTGTTGGTAATGAAATGAGAGTGATGAAAAATTTCAAGAGAGGAGTGTGGTTTATGCAAATAAATAGATGGAGAAGGAAAAAAGATAATATAAAAAGAAAATAAATAATAAATGAGCATAGAAAAATAAAATAATGATATGCTTTTAGCCCAAAAAAAATAAAAATAAAATAAAATAATGATGTTAGTTGACAAATCTATATGTAAATGTTAATTTTATAAGTTAATATAGTTAGGGGAGAATTTGGTGAAACGCATGGTCTTGAAATGGTTGAGTTGAGAATCATGCTTCTTGCCAAATGCCATTGAAAAAGTATAAATTTGATTCACTGCATAAGAACATATTTTTGACAAGATGCATGCGAATTTATTGATATTGACTAGTTATCTTTTTTAACATTAGTGACTAAACCAGAAAATCTTATGATTGAGAAGATTGATGACCGTACGTTGAAAATGAATTTCATGGATCAAATTTTTTTTGCAATCACGGAGTTCTGAAGTTTGAATCACAACCATCTGATTTATTTCGGACGAGAAATAACATATTATTCGATGAGTTATATTGTTAATCAATCACAATTATATATTTAATTAAAATATATTTTATTTTTATTTTTATTTTTATTAAATAACCGTATAAAACTATTTTACATTGTCAATACCTATTAATTAAACTCAACTTCTAAATATAATTTAATTCTGTAAACGAGAAATAACATAAAATTATAATAATTAAGTAATTATTATACAGCATTAAAAAATGTCGAGTTTGAATTTAAAGATTATATTCGAACTATTGTATCTATTAATTGAATTGAAATTTGTGAAAATATATTCTTTGCGATTAATTTTTTTAATGCATTCATGCAAAATAATTAAAAAGGTTAAAGAAATCTTAATTAAACTATCATAAAATTAATATTATTTTTTACATAATAATTAAAAAATATTAATTATAAATAAGAATCATTTACATTTCATTGTGTCACTACAAGGTCTCTTTGACTGCAATAAATCACCGCCCAAAATTTACAGATAAGAAAATAATGTTTGCATTTTCTAGACAGAAATAATGTTTACATATCAAAACAAATATACACTTTTTTTTAAAATATATTTTATTGGATAGGTGTGTAAGTTTTTTTAATGGAAAAATGAAAATAAAGTAATGTTTTATGTGTTGAAATATATATTTTTTCTTATTCTAAGAAAACAAAAGTTAGAAAAATGATATTATATGAATATATTTTTTATTATTATTATTATTGAAGAATGACCTTTCTAACACGTCTTGATATATCTTCCAGACAATTCAATCCATACAATTTAAATGCGTTTGATTTAGTCATATATATATATATATATATATATATATATATATATATATATATATATATATATATATATATATTATTTTTTATCTATGCCGATACTCTTTAGTAGAATAAGACGTGATTATTCGTGTTATAATATTATTTTTTAAGACAAGTTTATGTTGCATGAAAATAAGATTCATTAAAGAAAAATATATTTTCAAAGAATTCATCTAATTTATTTATAGTATAAAAAGCAAATTAATAGATTGAATTCAATCAATCCTTTTATATAAATTCAATTTATGTAACATATTTTAATGATTGAATAATTATTTTTATTATATACTTTAAACTAATTAGATCTAATTAAAAAAACAATATAAAAATATTTTTGAAATTTTAAAAATCAAATAAAAAAATGATTTTTTTCAATAAAAACATTGATTTATGAAAATAAAAAGGTCGTTTTTTTTAAAGTATAAAAAAGTGACTTTTCCAAAAGTTTAAAAATTAATTTTTTTTAAATATTAAAAATCAATTTTTTGAAAGTAAAATGAAAAGTTTTTTAAAATTATTTTTTTGAAAAAAACCGATTTATAATAATAAACAATTTTTTTTCAAAAAATACAAAAATTTGATTTTTTCGAAAATGAAATAATGTTATTTTAAAATTAATTTTTTCATAAATTTAAAAAAAATGATTTTTATTTCTGAAAATATACAAAAATTATGGTCTATAACTATTTTTTATAAATAACATTTTTTAATAAAAAATTAATAAATATATTTAAATTAATTTTTGTTTGGACGAATTCATCTATTAAAAAGATGTTAATAGATAGATATGATTAATTTTATCTCTATTATATGAATTAAATTGAATATTTTTAAAAAAATTAAAATAAATTATTAATTGACTTATAAATTATTTTGATCCATCTATATCTATTAAATCTATTTATTTTGCAAACTTAAATTTATAGATAAACATGAAACTTTAAAAAAATATACAAGAATGTAATAATGGCGAATTTAATATTTCACATGTTATTCAAACTTTTTCTTATTTTTTGATAAAAAAACTTTTTGTTATTTTATACAATTAAAATATTATAACTATAAATAAATAAATAGATAATGTTTATCTAATTAAACTATGAACCTATAATTCATTTTTATTGTCATACAATAAAGTAATAAAAAGTACTTTTTTTTTATAATTATAAGTCATTTAAAAAAATAGAGAAAATTATATATCATTTATAATACCAATAAATTATTAATGATGATTTTTTATATCTTTAAAAATTATTATTATTTCTTCTTTCTATTCTTTAAATTTATTGTTTCAATATTATTAATAAATGACAATTTTATAAAATAAGTCTTAATTTTTCTTTCTCATTAAAAATTAACCGTAATTTTTAATAGTATGAAAATTTTAAAACAACTTATAATAAAAATCGAATATAGTGATAAATAAAAAGTCATACACATAAAGTTAATAAAATTTTGTTTGGGAGTTTGAAGGAAAAAAAAGAGAGAATAGCCTTTAAAAAAAGAATTGTGTCAAAAGAATGATGAATTTAGGTGTAGAATATTTTGGAGGATTTACTTTATTTAAATTTTTTTTTTAATTTAGACAAACTGTTTATATATAATATATGTTGTTATAATATTTTAAAAATTAAAATTTAATAATAATAAATACTCTTTTATTATTTTAAAAATATTTAAAATATTAAATATTTTTAAAAAATATTAATAACAAATACACTTTTATCATTTTAAAAAATATTAAATATTTTTCTATATTTTTAAAAAAAATTCTTTTTCCCAAAACTCTCTATTTCTGTTCCCTTTAGTACAAAATAAATTATATTCATTTTATTTCTTCATTTACCATATAATTATACTAGATTCAAAATAATAATAATAATAATAATAATAATAATAATAATAATAATAATAATAATAATAATAATAATTTCATATTCAAGAAAATGATAATAATATTAATAGTTTTATATTTAACAAAAATAATAATAATAATAATAATAATAATAATAATAATAATAATAATAATAATAATAATAATAATACAAATAATAAAAATAATAATAATAATTTTAGATTTAACAAAATAATATTTAAAAGGCTCAAAAAATTGTCGAATACAAATATTTATGGAGAATGGTGCCTTCTTATCTGGATATGTACCTATAAACTAGCGTGTAATAAATATTCATTAATTTTATTCGTAGATACAGAATAAACTATCAAACTCGTCGCTGTGACGGAGTTTTAATCGTAAATACTGAAAAATACTGATTATTTTAGAAAAAATTGGACAATAATTATATGTCATTTAATAAAACAAATGAATTATTAATAGTTTTAAATATTTATTACTTTATCTTTTTTCAATTCATTAAAAAAAATTTTAACAAAGAAAAAATTAATTATATTTTTTAATATGCGTTAAAAGTCTAAAATTATTTATAATAAAAATTATAAAGAATAATAATTAAAAAGACATTTGCATAGAGTTACTAAAATTTTGTTTTGAAGTTAAGGGAAAAAAGAGGATGACTTTGAATAAAAGGAATAATTAAGCGAAAAAAATGAGGATTTAGGTGAAAAGTGTTTTATAAAATTTATTTTTATTTAAAAATAAAATTTTTTTAATTTAAAGAAATTAAAAAATTTCTATTAGAGAAGGATTTTTAAAGGTTTTATAATATGTAGATAAATTGTTCAAATATAATATATATTATTATAATATTTTAAAAGTTAAAGATGTGTTAAACGGTTTTTTTTTTTTTTGAGAATGAAAAACTTTATTTCAAAAATAAAATGTAGTACAAACTAAGGTAATCAAACGATTCAGTCTACTAGACAACAAACTACACAAAAGCACATAAAGTATCATGAGTCTAGCAACATGTTGCCTGAGGTTGTGTTTCATCTAATATCTATACATCACAAACTCAATAGTTTTGGGGCTTATAATGTTATTGTCAATGTCTTTGCCAAAACAGTGATGGTTCCTAAAGTTTAAAGCTTCATATATAGTTTCGGTGAATGTACACTTGAGAATTTTTGCATTGTAACCTTTTCCTTTGCTACTCCTCAAAATCCAATGTAGTTTATTATCCTATCTAGTAGGTTTGTGATCAATGTGGAGCCATTTAAGGAAAAACAGATCTCAAAAAACCTATTACATAAAAAAATATGCCTTAAAGTCTCGTGCTTCATACGAAAACAACAAATGTCATTATCAATAAGGGAAAACTAATGAAGTCTCTCCTTTGTTGCAAAATTGTTGTGACAAGTCATCCAAGGGGTGAATCTAGCTCTAGGCCGAGCTATGTTGTTGAAAAACACCTTCCTCTAATGAACTACAGGCTGCTGATTTTTCAGTTTATGATAGACACTTTCAGACTTGAATTTCTTCTTTTGAAGCATATCATTCCAGCTTTGTAATAGAACAACCTCTTGTCTCTTATTCAGTATAGTTTTAAGGATCCATGAACAAGTACTTTTAACTGGAACAATCATAATATCAAATGTTTTCACATAGTAACAATGTATCCATTTTACCCATAAGCTATCAGATTTACTACAGATGTTCCAAGGCATTTTCAAATTGTTAACTTCACCCCCAA